TGATGGTATAGAATTGATTATGTGCTCTGCAGAGGATGGTATCAGACCAGTTACAGCCGGGAGTGAACTCATGAGGGTAACTCATAAGTTTTCTTCCACTTCCCGTGTTTCTGTTTCATTGTTTTAAGTGTTTTACTGATAATTCTCATCAGTTACATAGGGCTGAGGAACAGCAACTAAAAAAGTCTTGGACTCTGGGATTTTACTTGTACTTGTCTATTTATTAAGGACTTTGTGGAAGTTTTATATAGATATCGACAACTCGTATGGTGAGGAAAAAGATTACGTGGACGCAGACTTGTGCAAATGCTGGTCTTCTGTGGAAAAAGTTCTGTATGTTCTTTATACTTAAAAAAAAAAAAAAACTCCAGAAGGTATTAGCATGATGTGAAAAATGGCAGAGTACTTCTCATACCTAGTAAATCTTGAGCCACCCCTGAGCCAACTGTTTTTTTTTTGTTATCTGGTTGAAATCAATCATTTGGTGCAAGTACTCTGGAACATTAGTGGGAGTGTATTGCATTAGCTGGAAAGTCAGTCAGGCTTGATTACAAATAGATGAAAAGTGAGCTGTCAGAGTGCTTACAGTCAAAGATTTGTTGACAAATGGAATTCTTTTTAAAGCATTCAGTGTTACTGCCAGATGCTTTGTTTTAATTGTGGCTGACTTCCTTTGTTTCCTACAGATTTGGAATCAGTACTTTTCTGCAAAAGACACAGTTTATGCTGTTATTCCTGTAAGTAATTCTGTTGTACTTATGCACTCTAGAGGTCAGTGTGAAAAGCTCTCCTTTTCGGCTCTGATTCTGTTGCTTTTAAAAGTAATCATTGTAGGAAAATAGGGTTCCAAGAACTAACTTTCTTTCCAGGGTGAGTGATGTTATTGACCCAAAAAACGTTTTTGTTTCCAAAAATGTTTATCCCTTTTCTTTTTCTCACATCAGTTGGTCTAAATAAAGCTAGTACTTCTTTCTGCACACTTGGCCTGTATTTCAGGCATTGTTTTTATTTTGAACATCAAGACTCTTTGCCAGGGTCCTAGTGTCTACTGAGGTAGCATTTGTATTTCCACATCATTTCTTCTCGAAGTGGCTCTTTTTTTTTTTTTTTTTTTTTTTGGTCCTCTTCCCCACAGCACAGGCAGCTAGCCTGGCACTTTAATATAGCCGTGTTAGAGCACTTGGCTAATAAGCTGCACTTGGTTAAAGGCTTATGACTTAATTTCATTTATTTAAAATTATTGGTAGCACTGTCTTTCATTGAGATTGTGGTGCTTCCTATGATAAGATGATATTTTTTATTCCTGATAACTTTAAAAAATGTTAATTGTTGTTAGTCTGTGTTAGACTGGAGGACTTTTTTCATTTAGGAGTTGAGTTTTTTTTTTTTTTTTAACTTTAGAGTCTCTGTGTGATCCTGTTCTCTTAAATCTGTCTTTTCATAACTGGGCACACACTGTGTTCCTTGTTTTCTTGAAATCACTTAGATCTGGGATTTGATTTACAGTTGTGCTCAGCCCTTAGGGCTGCAACTGAAGTCAGAAGGAGGCTGCATTCTAAACATGAAGCACTACCTGCTTGAAAATTGCTTCACGAAGTCGAGCAACTTTGTGTCTTAGTTTTTCCATTGCAGAATGGAGGTCTTAGCACTTGCCATGGGGATGTGAAAATATTTTGAATTGCTCACTGAATGCAGTAGAGAGTGAATGAAAAGACAAGGTCTTCAGAGTAGGGTTTGAACACTCTACAATAAAAAGGTGGTACAGAGGGAGCAAAAGGCCTCAAACCAGTTAGTATAAAGCAAAGTACTGCTTTGTTGCTTACGTAGTAAATTCTGCCTGTTTTCAGTTAGTATGTGTGGTGGTGAGGAATGTTCAAGTTAAAGCTGTCATGATGTGTGGACCCTGAGAGTCAACTTAATCTGCACAATTAGTTTTAAGTTTGACAGCCCTTAATTTTTTGAGAATGTGATTTTTTTTAAATTGTTAACAGTGTTCTTAATATCACAAAGTATGACATATACAGAGTGATGTAGAACTCAATTGTTGTTTGAACATTAGACTCCAGTTAAGATGGTGCAGGTCTTAACATTAGTTGGGATTTTGCCCACTGTTTTTTGCTGCCCTGTTTTTCAGAGGAGCTTTGGAAGCTTCTGAAGTTTTAGTGCAAACCAGATCCTGAGTAAGCTGGGAAGTAGTTTATGGTGTCATCAAGGGAAGAAGCTATATGTCTTCTGCCAGAAGCTGTTTATTGACTGGAAGAATGGACTAGTATAATTCTCTAGTGCTCAAAAGCATACGTGGAGGAATTCTTTGTTGATGAATAGCATCTGTTTTCTTCCCTGAACACCTTACACCTTAGGAGTTGATATGTAGTGCTGGGAAGAGAAGAACAGGCAAGAGATTTGGGGGAACACGGAGGACACGTGAATGAGATTGCCAGGTTTCATCCACGTTGCCAAATATGTTTGTGATTTTAATATAAACCTAAGCAGTATGTTTGAATAAGTATCTGGGCTGCATTGTAATACTGAAGAACAGATGACTTTCTGATATAAAATCCATAATTTGAGGCCAGGGATATGTCATCTTGCTCAACCATAGTCACCATGTGATGCAGAGGAGCTATTACGAGAAGATGATTTAATGTAAGCCTAAAATGTGGACCTCCCACCCTCCAAGGAATACAAGCTTTGGATTCCTGGAGTTTGCTGCTGCCTCTCAGAGACAGCATTGTTAAAATGGGATAACAGTGACATTTGGAGAATGAAGACCTAAATATAATTTTCCATGCACTCATTGTTAACTGTGCCCGTAGTGAGACCTGTAGATACAAGTTGAACCCTATAAAGGTTAATGGGATGATTCTGAATAATAACTGTGCATGTACTTTTGTGTTATGGAAAGTTAATTTCTCTTTCTTCTTCCTCAAAGGCAGAGAAATTTGATTTAATATGGAAGCGAGCCCAGAAATGTCCATCAGTAAGTATGGTGGAAACTTACAACGTCTGTACGTATAACTGCAATGAATTTCTCATGACTAAAACCTGATTCATAAACTTTTGACCTTCCACTATTCAGACTCATTCATCGGCTTGATTAATAAAAGCCAGGTGTTCAAGTATTTGTCTTAATGTTCAGATAAAAGCAATGATTCTTCATAGATATCAAGTGATACAATCTAGATATAAGAAGCATAGAGTTCAGAAACTAGAGAGCAGAATCCCCCAGAGAGTGGATTTAGCTGCACACCTCCAGTTTCTATAATTAATGTTTTGTGGTTAAACCTCTTCCAGGCAGCGTTGTGAAGAGCCAAGCCTTGAAGGCCAACTTCATTGATGCTCCTGCACGTTTTTCCTTATTGCTTAAAGCATCCTTGCTGTGATCAGCTGGGGATCAAGTTACACCTGACTTTGTTGAAACCAGTATGCTTTTGTTTTGTTTTTATTCTGACTGAATGTGGATAAGTTTTCTTTCTACAGCAGGCCTTATCTGTCCCATGCACAGAGCCTGTGTCCGTGACAGGCTTTTGTTAATATGAAGTTCTATTAAGGAGCATTGTAATTCAACAGATGTGACAGGAGGAGGAAAGGAAGAATTAGGTGTAGTTGAACTCTTTATTACAAATATAGAGTAAGTATTGTGTAGGTTCTCTTATGTGTATGACAGCTCAACAAAACATAAAATGGTGAGAGTGCTTAACACATTATTTCAGAAATGAGTGGATTTCCAAGATGTAGGATCATTGTTTCTCAAGTGGGTTGGTGGGTATCTTGTAGGCTGCAATTAGAAGATTCCTGTGCGAATAAGCATGCTCTTGCTTTGAAGAAAATAAACTGCAAAGGAACAGATTAGCTAACAAGATAAAGAATATCTTTCTGCAGTTTCCTACCACGTGCTGCGGGATTAGTATTGTTTTCTGTTGAAAATAAAGTATCTTTACAGTAATGTGTGCATTGAAGCATGAACTTAGTGCAGATTGCGCTGTGTTAAGACAAAAATGAAATGCTTCACTGCTTTATGAAAACAAAGTGCAGCTAGACTTAGCTGCATTGAAGAGGAATGCTTTTGTATTTCTGAATGGGAAGCTTCACCAGACTGATGGCTTGGTCCTGTATATTTCACTTGCCAAGAGCAAGATCAAATATATCTGGCTTCCTAAAGTACTTGGAGCTTGGGAAGTTGTTTATAGTTTTAGGTGCATTGCTCTACAGTACACTGACATTTAGTTTGGTATCTTACTTGTGTTTCTGCTCCCATATTATCCTTTCTCTTGGTGTGGGAAAGTGGTACGTGAGCAAGCCCTTAGCATAGGGAGCCAAATAAACCATGAATCCCTGGAGAGAAAATGCTTGCCGCCTGAGTGCTCCTCATCTTACATTTGACAATTTCTACTGTTAATTTTGTAAAAATGAACTGATAGGTCAGAGTCGGAATGTTCTGCGGTCCTTTCTTTTGTCTCATATAATACTGATAAAAAATATGTCCCAACATCAATGATTTACTAATGAAATCATACTGAAAAGGTAAAGCTGTTTTATTGTCTGCTCTGAAGATTAGTATCTTCTGCTCTTCCACAAAATGGTGGTGCAAACTTTTCTATCTTGCCCTGCGAGTAAAGCTTCATTCAAGCCTTGGTGCTGTGGATTATCAGACTGGAGTCAGTCTCCTGGGTCATAAAGTCTGGTTCTTGCTGTCTTACCACTCTTATTTGGGCAAAGAAACCCTTTTTCTGTTGTGGTTCTCTCACTACAGAGTTTATGTTGGAGGCCAGTAGAGATGGGGATTCTTGTTCCTTTTGTTCTGTGAAAGGCAGAATTATTTTTTATCACTTCTCTGCAGTTTCTGTATGCTTTGCCAAGAAAGGAAGGCTATGAATTCTTTGTGGGGCAGTGGTCAGGAACAGAATTGCACTTCACTTCACTTATAAACATTCAGGTGAGTGGTTAAAATAAAAAGTCCAAAACTGGTTTCCAATCCAGAAAGATCTGATATCAGTACGGTAAATTTGCTAAATTTGCTAAATGAGCAGGTTGTCTAGCTTAACATGAAAAGAATGATCAGTGGGAAAATTGCCATTAATTACGGGTACTTTATAACTTTACAGGTACTAAGTGACTCTTTAAAGGAGAATGATAAAAATCCAAACAAACTGAAAAATAGAAGCCAGGGCCAAATTTCTTGGAACTGTTTGCACAAAGTACCTAGAAAAGCAGTAGATGCTGTGAGATCATATGCCTTTCTGGAAATTGCAAGTTATTTAAATGCAAATTGGTCTTTAATCAAGAAAAAGCCTGATCTAACTCTACCAATCACTGTTTAATATAAATACTCAGAGTAATGGACTGTTAATTGGAACTGATCTTTGGCCTCTGAAAAGTGGCTATCTGCATAGCAATTAGTACTCAAAAGCTTTGTAATCAAGTCTTCAAATATGCAAGGAAGCTAAATTTCTCAGTGCGACACCAACAGGTTTCTTTACCTCCTTCAGACCCAAGGTGAAACTGCTCCTAGCCACTTGGTCTTGTACCATTATCCTGAGTTGCAGAAGGAAAAAGGAATAGTGCTAATGACAGCAGAAATGGACTCCAAGTTCTTGGTAGGAGAAATCTACTTGTTCGCTTCCTTCATTCTATGCTGCACCTCCTCCTGTAGTTTTGAATTAAGAACAAATAAAAGTAAAACTTCAAAAGACCCTTTCTCAAAGAGTAGGCTTACTTCATTTCTTTAGCCTTCCATTTAATAATCTAGGGAAAGGTAGAAAGAAATCAACGGTCTTTGGCTGTTTGGTGAGTGCAGCTAAGGCATTCTTTTTTTTTTCTTATGCTAGGTATTATGGTTTATTGTTCTGAAAAATTCAGAAATGGCTATTTTTCTAGTTAATGGAAGCAAATTTAAATGAAGAAGTTGTTGCTGTCTGCCAACAAGTTCAAACAATGTTCTGAAGCTTTATGCTGTCGGCTGCCGGTCAAATCAAGAGATCTCCAGAGCTTTGATTCTGTGTTAGGTTTCCTTGTGCCTTTGCCCTTTTCCCTATGTGTGGTTGTACTGCTATTTGCATATCTGTAATAGTATAGTCCTGGGACTAATAGCAGTAGGGATTAAGCTGATGAAACAAGATAACTAAAGTATCCCAACTCTAATTGACCTACTTATACTAGTTCTGAAACTCTGTGCAGAGGAGATGACTGATAATGCATTTGTCCTTTTGTAACTCAGAGTAGATGGTCAATTTTTGCAACATAACATAGGTCAGCCATACGAAGGGGAAGATGAGACTTCAGTGCATCTCCAGTGTCGTAGCGTGGGTAGGGACCATGAAAGACATGGTGAGCCTTTGACCTCAGATGTTTGCTCACCAGGAGCCTAATTTGTAGACACAGCGCTAAGGTGTATAAGGAGGTCAGCAACAAGAGGGAGGTCATTTGTGAAGAGATTTGCCAAACTGGGACAACTGGGAGTTGAGTCATTTGATGAGTAGCAGGATTGGATTGCAGCCTTTTAGCCTCCGAGGAGCCTTTTTCAAAGGGAAACTTTAATACAACAAAGAACCGTTGGTAACAGATTCTTTGTTTAAACTTCCAGGTTGTCCATGAAGCACAGTGCTTGGCGAATCAGGTGCAACTTTTCTACGCAACGGATCGTTCTGAGACCTATGAATTAGTGGAGATCTTCAACCACAGGCCTAATGAATTCAAATACATGTCAGTTATAGCAGAGCTTGAGCAGAGCGGACTTGGAAGGGAACTGAGACCTAGTCAGGATTCTGACAAGTCATAGAACTTGATCTGTGAGCGAAGCAGGCCAGAAGCAGTCAGAGGGCTTCCTCGCGGGAGTAGTTCCCATCTCTTCTGTTCTACGAACTTGGTCTGGCTGCAGAAAGGATCAAGAGACGTCCCAGGAGGGTGACAGTCAAGCCTGTCTGGCACTGATGCACGATGATGACTTGGGTTGTTTAAGCAACTTAACTAATTGCCAAAATGGAGCGTTGTGTGTCAGTGCAAATTCATCAGAATGAGCTATTTTCCCTTCCCGTAACTGACTGCTGCATGCTTTATTTTTGAAAACTGAAATAAAATGACAAAAGGGGAACTATTTAAAGGAGTGAATTGACATCTGGAGAGAGATAACGATCAGTGTTTCTTCTCAGTAAATACATTTTAAATGCCCTTCATCATTATAATTGCATGCTCCAGTGCTTTTTAATTTATGTGGAATTCATGCAAACTCTTGTCCGTCAAGGAAAGAGAATAGGATTGGTGATCTAAAACAAACTCCTTTTTGTTGCTTTGTTTGTGAGGTTCCTGATACATATGTATACTGTGTCCTGCATTTTTCTCAGGACTAAAGAACTCGATGACTTAGATTTGCTCTGAGAATGTTGTACTTCCTAATTGGTATATTAATTTCATCCTGTTGCTTTGTCTCTTAGAGATGTTTATCTTGAGGGATAGGATATTATAAACGTGGTTTTATTTTTGTATATTTTGGAGTGGAATTATTGCATGCTTTGTAGAATATTTTTTCTCAGATTGGCAGCCAGTCAGCCAGACCTGCAAATGGTATTTGAAAGGACAAAAAAAAGCTCTCATTCCCATTTCAGGAGAACCACTATCTATAATAAAAGCATTAGGAAATGGCAAAATAACCCTGGTGGAGCCACCAACCAGTTTCTCATTTGCTAAGCAACAACTCACATGAAAAAATGCATGGGTGTGAATATGCACAGCTGGTTTAACAGACTGCAGTATGTATTTTTTTACATCTGTCTTTCGCAGAGGGATCCCGGAGCATTCTTGCTTTGACTGTGGCATACTGCAGCAGTGCTAAGTGCTGTGCAGTCTGTGCACAGAGCATCAAAAAACCACTGTTGCACATGTAGACAAGTCAACAAAAGGCAAACGGGAGCTTCCCAGGAGCAACACTGAAATATTTCCCATATTCACATCAAATCCCTAGAACAGGAATAACAGTCCTTAGCACTGACTGGTTTCATGTCCAGACTACATTACAAGTGTTAATCGTTTCGTCAGCCTGCTGGAGCTGGTAAGCATTCCCTCCTTTGCCAAAGCTAGAAATGAAGGCAAGAAGGCTACGCAACTCATCCTCCTGTCAGGAGACCAAGTTTTTGGCGCAGGGATTGTAACAGATGTTTTATGCTACCCTTAACTATGACCTGATACAGAGGTTTGAAGAGTGATGATGAGCTTACGCAATCTGTTTGCTAGTGTAGTTGCAGGAGTCTGTTGCTGTAATATTTAGTGTCAGTCCATACTTTCTCAGCCCCTTCCTTGGATGCGGTGAGTGTTCAGCTAAGCACTAAAGGTAGATAATAAGGTTTTATTTTGGGGGTCTACTTCAGCGGCAACTCATACATGTTGGGTGTGAACTCTCCCCGTTAAGGGTATTATGTTTAATTTTCTAGAAGAGACTCTTTTTTTTTCCTGGGGCTCTCCTGCTAAGAGGTGATGTTGCTCCCTGATAATGCCTTCTTTTTGTTTTGGATTGGGTTGTGTCTGTGCATGTGTGCACAGTACCCTGGAGAGCAGGGGAGTAATCTAAAGAGATGTGGATAGGACTGTCATGATCTGAACAGCAGATCACCTTTATTAAAGAGCTGTTCTACTCCTGTTTTGTAGTATTCATGCTCCATTTACCATTTTTCCTTAGTGAGCTGAAATAAGGGCAGTTTTGATTCATTATTCACTTCCTGCTTTGAAGATGACAAAAGTTACTGTATTCATTTTTAAATACAGATATAACATCCCTGGATGAATAATTGGCAACAGGAGACAAATTCAGGGCTTCCAGATCTACACCTGATCCTCCTGAGCTTAGAAGACCAGTGTCTCTAGCACGAGGCTGTAGTAGTCACTACCTGTAATTTTGACAGGCATTTTTTCAACCTGTCATGTAATTAATGATAAGAACTAATCCAAGGGCTTAAGAAAGGCAGAAATGGCAAAGGAAGGAAAAGGAAACATTTATTGCATTGTATGCATCGGAGTGGTTTTTAAGTAAGAGCCTAACTAAAAAGCTACTTGCTACTTGCAGCCTCTTTGCCAAGCAAATGCAGTGACTACGTTTTCAGACCCTGGGAGATGGTGAATTGACTGGCAGAGCAAGGACTTTTTTCCTTCAGGTGTTTTCGTGTGCCTTGAAATGAGGACGTATATACCATAACACGTTCCTTCCTTGGATGAGACCCGTTGGCACAAAGGTCTGACCCTTGGAAGTGGGACGGTTTCCCATGTTTTTGTCAGAATTGACTTCTTGGTAGGTAAGTTAGATAACACTGGTATTCCTGTAACACTTTGAAGTGTCATCATGGCCAGAGCAACCCACTCTGCTTCCAAGTATGTTGCTTCAAACTGCATAGAAGCAGGACAGAGAGTCAGTTCTCCACTCAGTGAGTTACGAAAAAAAAAAAAAAAGTTAGAAAAGCAGTGTGGGTAAATGCTGGGACAGTGGCGTGACAGATTGTGTTCTCCGTGCACAAGGAATTTGTCCTGGTCAAGCTTTCTGGTGACATCCCCCTTAAAGCAGTGTTTCTGTTAGGGTTTTAAATGTGGACAGTAACGTAGCTTTCAATTTTTTCCACTTCTGGGTATTAAAATATGAAATGTTATACCAGGGCATTTGCCAGTGGCACCTCTTGTTTTGGTGGTGTTTCACAGGGGTCAGAGGTGTTGCATTCGGACCTGTTTTTGCTCAGGCCTTGAAATGCTGCCATTTCCTACCAAGGGAGACTTTCATTTTTTTGACTAGCTCAGACCGTAAATGCAGCACATATTGAAGGTAAGCAATCTTCTTTCTCTGACAAGCTCTCTTATTGCTCCCCATGGCTGATCTCTGCAGCAGTAGTGAAAGCAACACTTTTTTTCCCCACTCTTAATGGTATAATCCAGCTGGGTGTCTCAAGACACCTCCCATCCATCATGATTGTACCTATGAGAAAATAAAGGTACAGGGAGATAAAAGAGAACACAAGGGAAGAAAGCTTTCTCTTTCCCACAGACAAAATCTTGTGCTTCTGCTGCTTGGCCTGTGTTCTCCTGGCTTTGCTCCTTGTGACCCCATGGCCCTGGACTGAGAAATGTTGCATTTGATTATCCCTCTTCTTAAAATGAACAATGTTTGTGATTCCATCAGGCTCTGAAGAAAAGAGATGTTTGCTTACCGTGTTATTAGAGATGTAACGACAGTGGAATCAGAGGCATTCTTCTCTCTAACGGGATCAGGAGTGGAGATGGATCCTGCAGAGAAGAGCGGGGCTTGAAGTATTTGTAATTTTGAAACATCTGGTCCTGGGATGTTCTCTAAATGGAAAATCCTTTCATGCAAGAATTTGTGCTGCAGTAGAATTTACAGTAGATTTACATGCTTGTTTGAAAGACAGTATATTCACATGCTTGGTTAAAATTCCTCTATATTTAGAGCTATACTTAAAAATGAATATAGCTAGCACCTTCAAAAGACTCCTAGAAATCACTGACTTTGTGTTGATGATCTTACTGGAAACTTTCTGATTCCATAGTTTTTATCCCTGTGCAACCCCAGGACACCTATGTCTGGCTGTCACTTTATTATGGGAGACCACATCTGCTTCTGCATCGGCTGTTCTCTGGAACTGTGCTAAAACTGGCTGTTCATGGGGTATTGTGTCTCCCGAAACAGCAGAAGAGCAATGAGGCTAGTTAATTTTGCATGTGCCTGTGTGTACAATGGTAAGGAGGTAGCTGAAGGCTTGCAAAACTGCAAGTTGCGCAAGTTCCTGGGAGGTATTTCCAGATCTTCTGTTGAGGCCTGAGTTTGATGTTGCCCCGAAAATGTTATCCCCTGTGTTTTCTCCAGGAAGTTAGTTCAATGGCTCCCTGACAACTGCTGAGGCTGAATTGTGCCATTGAAATGCTGCTGTGAGCAGGGAAGTTTCTGATGGCTATTTCCAACTCTGAAGCAGGTGGCCCAGTAGTCTGAGAAGCTGTGCCATCAAACCAGAACATTTTGGTTACAGACAACAAAGTTGTTTCAATATTCAGTGGCCTGGTTGTAGGGGGCAAGACTGACATGGTGTGAATAAGCTCCCTAATTTGTAACTGGAAAAGTGAAAACTCTTAGTCCTTTTGGAAATATATGTGCTAATGATAGCGCTTGCTTTACAGTTAGAACTTGAATGGCACAGTCACAAATCTGTGCCGACTGCTGCTGCAGGTGGAGATGAGATCGAAACTGGGACAAAGACTCTTAAACTCTAGGCCCGATCCTCTCTATCCTACTAAATGCTTGGTGTAAGGGCTGCAAGAATGGGCCAGCTGTGTCTTGTGGTTGTCTGACTTCTCGAGCGCACAGGACCCGCTCTGCCGTGCTGCTGATTGCCTGCCATAGCCCAGGCACTCTTTGCGGGCTGGCCACAGGGATGGGCTCATACAAGCTGTAGCGTAGACACAGACATGTGGGTCTGTCTGGAGCTCTGCAAATAAGCAGCTACGCCAGTTTTAAGCCACTAAATATTCATGTAGGGTTTGTAAGCCACTTGTCAATACATTCGTGAACCACGTTGAGCTTGAAGAGCTGGTGAAAATAAAACTTTTAGTCTTCAAATCGGGAAAGTAACTGCAACACTTACTATGCTGTATAACCACTAGAGGGAAGATTTGTCCCCTGATTCTGGACTGCAGGCAGCCAGTTTACGGGAGCTTATCTGCTCCGGCTTGTTAACTTGGTGATGGGGGGGGGCGGGGGCGAGGTGAGTTTCTTGCTAAAAGAAAGAAACCGGTGTGGCCTGGTCCACACCAGTGTGATTATGTGCAGGGGCCTGGGCTCTTTTTATAATGTTGAATGACATATAATTGTGAACCCTGATAATACAAAAGTAAAAGATAAAAATAGGTAAATTTGGGTCAGTTCATGAGAAAAATCTGTAGAGAGAAAAGGCATGAGATTTACAGTCCAATTCAAAGTAGTGCTGAGCAAAACAGAGCTCTTTGACCATCAACCGGAGCAGAAGTGTTAAGGGCCCAGAAAAACGTTCTGCTGGCAGAACTGATAACATGCAGGAGTAATCCATGGAGAGTAGCGGCATCATTTGGTTTATACAAGTTAGGATGCCTCCATCTTAAAGTGTGCTTGAGTGTGCTTGATTTCAGGGCCTTGTTCTGTTTGGGTATTAAGTTTTTTGGTTTGATGGCAGGACAGAAAAATAAGGGTAGGGATGGCTGCTCTGAAATGTATTTTTTTGTTTGTTTGTTTTTTAACCCCAACACCCCCCCCCCCAAATATTTATCTACTGCATAAGCACAGATCCTCAGAATATACCTGGAGAGACTCTTCTGGGCTCTGTTACCTCCTCCTCTAAGGTAGGAGATGGTGAGCTGAGCTCCACTGACGACTGATAGCATTCGTACCAGCCCAAGCCAACTGTGCAGGGCCAATGTGGGTCCAAAGGCAACACCTAAAGGCCGAACTACTCCTATATGGCCCGGT